CTTGACAAGGTACTATCTCAGTTTGGAATACCTACACAAATAACAAGTGACAATGGGCCACCATATAACGGTGAAAAGTTTAGGCAATATGCCAAGTACATGGGTTTTGAACACAAAAAGAAAATACCATATGCCCCGTGGGCAAATGGCACCGCGGAGAACTTCATGAAAAACCTAGGAAAACTTATCGAAACAGCGCAAGAGGAAAAATTAAACTGGCGCCAAGAACTCCACAAATTTCTGCGTGCATATCGAGCCACTCCACATCCAATGACAAAGAAATCGCCAGCTTCTCTCCTGTTTAATGGGAGAAAATACAAAACAAGACTACCGACACCCACCAGCAAAACCATACTGGTTTACGACAAGGAAGTCAGGAAGAACGACCAGATCAGCAAAAGAAATATGAAACTGCGAGCAGACAGCAAGAAGCATGTCAAAACAAGCGAGATCAAGGTCGGAGACAAAGTGCTATGTCAACAAAAACGAGGGAGAAAACACACCCCCGCCTACAGCAATGAAATAATGCGAGTCATGAAACGAAAAGGCAGTCTGATAGTAGCACGTGGGGAAACAAAGACGATAACCAGACACGTCACCTTCTTTAAGAAAGTAACAGAGGACTTTGACGTAGATACCTCGGACACCCCCTTGACAGAACTAGTACCACCCGGGAATCAACGAATAGTAGCAGACATAATTCACCCACCTGGGCAAGTACAACCAGGAAGAGAAAGACTCGAGATCGGACTACAGAACCCGGAGGCCCTGGAGCCAAGAGAGAGAGTATTAAGAGACGTGAATCCAGAACCAGTACGCGAGGCCCGGCCGGTCAGAAACAGACGACCGCCAATAAGATTTAGGGATGAAAACTATGAATATAACTTAGAGGAAAATTTAGAAGAGTAAGCATTAACTTTAAATAAGTATAAAAACGAACACGATTACCGAACAGTCAAAGTGGGTAAGATCGTATGTTGAGTTGTTGTTATAATGTTCAAGGTTACATACATGTAAACGTATAAAGAAAAGGAGGGATGTTATATCCAGTAAGTGGAAACACGAGCCGGTAAGTGGAAACACTAGAGAACTCCCGCTCTCTTAGATCGGCGTATTGTGAAGTGTTGTGTTATAATTAAACTGTTATCAAATAGACTGTTCACTAATCAAAATACAAGGCTATACAATTGTCCGTAAAGACAGAGACAGGCATGGTGGCGGTGTGGCATTCTATATAAAAAACAACATTGCTTTAAAGTTTGTTCTGATTTATGTTACGATGACCTTGAAACACTAACAGTTGAGATTGAGAAACCAAGTCAAAAATCTTTCCTTATAACTACTTGGTATCGTCCGCCATGATCTGAAATCAGTATTATGAGCAAATTTGAACAATTGCTTAAAATTCTTGAAGTTTGTAATAAAGAATCAATTATACTAGGTGGAAAGAAACAATTTGTAATAAAGTAACAATTATACCACTTCAATTGCAATATTCTTGCTAAAGAAATCGATACTAACACCTGTACTATCTTGTCCCTGTATGATGAGTACCAGTACACACAATTAATCGATAATCCTACTTGTGTGACTGAAAATTCTAGTAGCTTAATTGATCACTTAATTTCAAATATGCCAACATAAAGTTACAACAACTGGTGTTTCTAATATTACTATAAGTGATCACTATTTAATTTATGCTGTTCATCGCAATATGCTCCAACGTGAAAGACCCAGACTAATTGAGACTAGAAATTACAAAGATTTTGAGGCTGAAATTTTTTTATATGATTTGTCAAATCAACCTTGGGATAATATTAAACAACTTGATGATCCCAATGAGATGTTATCGACTTGGAATACGTTATTTCTAAATACATTAAATACTCACACACCTATAAGAAAACGTGTCCGAAACACAGAGGCACCCTGGATTACTCCTGACATTAAAAAGCTCATGTTTAAAAGAGATAATTTGAAGAAAAAAGCTACTGTATCTGAAACTAGTCGCTCTTGGGAGCTTTACCAAAAAGCATGGAATAAAACAAACAATAAAATTCAGGAAGCGAAATTATTATATCAATATTATATTATATTAATACAAGTAAAGGTAACTCAAAAGCAACTTGGAAGATAGTAAATAGCATGCTAGGCAACATATCAAAAAATACTATAATTGAGAGTATCATGGTTAATGACAATCATACACAACCCAGTGAAATAGCTGAATTATTCAATGAACATTTCACAAATGTCGGACATGATTTAGCACATCAAATTCCACCTATCCAAGATCAGCCGGACAAATTCATACCTGAAATAAGCACTGTTTATGCTTTCAAAACAACTGAACCTAACAAGGTTTTGATTGCTATAAATAAACTAGCTGCAACTAAAGCTTCAGGAATTGACAAACTTCCTACAAAAATTTAAAAAATGGCAGCTCCGATTATTTCAGAATCACTAGCATCTACTTCAATGTATCTTTAAAGAATGGCATTTTCCCAAATGACGTAAAAGTTGCCAAGGTGTCGCCTGTCTTTAAAACTAGTGATAGAAAAGATAGAAGTAATTAAGGCCTATTTCCATGCTTCCTGTTGTTTCAAAAATTTTCGAAAAGCTAGTTTTTTTCCACAAGTATACGGATATTTTATGAAGGAAAATATGTTTTCTGATTACCAATCAGGTTTTCGTCCTAATCATTCTACAGAAAGTGCCTTGCATAAATCTGTGATGTACATATGGACAAAGGGGACATTGGCATAGCAGTTTTTATAGATTTGAAAAAGGCATTTGATACTGTGGACCATAACATTTTATTGAATAAACTAATGTGTTATGGAATCAAAGATAATGAATTGAAATGGTTCCAGTCATATCTATCGAATAGGACTCAATGCTGCTATGTCAATGGAGTTCTTTCAAGCAGCCAAATAATATCATGCGGAGTACCACAGGGCTCTATCCTTGGACTGCTGTTATTTTTTATATACATCAACAATTTGCCTGGCTGCTTGTCTAAATCCATCCCTAATATTTCAAATCTGTCAAGGAATTTGTGCCTGAATCTGAGGAAGCAAAACAACTTGAAATCGTGTCAGCTGAGGTGAGAACAGCTGATGACAAAAAACGTCTCTACTACTGCTGTTACCGTCCACCGGATGCGGACCTGTCTTGGACGGCTAAATTTGAAATCTTTCTAAACCACGCTTGTGATCATTACAAAAACGTCGTTCTTACTGGAGACTTTAATTTTTCAAACATATGTTGGGAAGTGCCAGTAAGTACCTGTGGTGCTAATGAACTTCTCTTTGAATGATCACTTGTCTCAACTCAACAACACCCCCAACACGTGGTGACAACATCTTAGACTTAGTTATTACAAGTGCACCAGATCATGTCAGAATAACAGAAATTTTGTCTCCTGATGAATCATCCATCTTTACAGACCATCATTCCATTTCGTTTGACTTTAATGCATTTACTAAAGCTCCAAGAAAAACTGTGAGAAATATCTACAACTACGAGAAAGGAGACTTACAAGGTTTGTGCACTGCTTTACGAGAGCTGGACCTTTCTACAACTATCTCGGACCAACCTGGGGACATTGATGCTGATTGGGAGTGTTGGAAAAATGCCTTTCTCACCGAAGTTTCCAAATATATACTGAAAAAGACACTTAAAAGTCGAAATCCGTTACCATGGTTGAATAGTAACATTAAAAGTCTCGCCTACCAGTTATTTGACATAAAAGTACAAAAACATGCGTTCTGAAGTTAAGAGGTTATTAAACGAAAGCCGAGAAAACTATTTCCGTGAAATTGACAGCAGCTTTAGAGTCAACCCAAAGCGCATGTGGTCAGTACTTAGACAAAAGTCCAAGTCATGTAGCATCCTGGATCGTATCTCTATGGCTGCAGTAACCACCACCAGTTCTTCCGATGGTCAACCTGGTTCTCTTCATGTTTCCCATGGCGACCAATCCGACCAATCGCCAAGACCAACTGCTGCAAACCTTGTTGAAATAGCTACATTCTTCAATACCTACTTCACATCTGTGTTTTCATCTGAAAACCTCCCTGACGAACTTCCTACCGAAACAGAGGTCCTCCAGTTTTAACTGAACTTACTCTGACTGAACCCGAAGTGGAGACTATACTTAATTCCCTCAATACCAACAAAGCCACCAGACCGGATGAAATTCCAGCCAAACTCCTCAAAAATACAGCTGCTATAGTTGCTCCCTCTCTATGTAAGCTATTCAACAAATCCCTACAACATGGAATAGTACCTCGTGATTGGAAACTAGCAAATGGTTCTCCCTGTGTATAAGAAAAATAACAGAGAATTATAGACCAATCTCCCTTCTACCCATCGTTTCTAAAGTTTTAGAACGTTGTATTTTTATAAATGTCAAGCAATTTCTGTCCCAACTCGTTATCGATTGCCAGCATGGTTTTCAAGGTAAATCATGTGTGACTAACTTCTTGAAAGTGCTGGATTACATCGGTACCTGGATTACATAAGTTGTACCTTGATATGCGACTCTTGAGTTGCAATGTTTGCCAGTGACACTAAGCTATTCTCGGCAATTACATCTCAGGACGATGTAGCATCTCTCCAAGCTGATCTTGTGAACTCAGAACATTGGTCATCTCAGTCAGGCTTGTCCTTCAACAAATCCAAATGCAAACATCAGACAATCATGTGTAAGATTGTGCCATTTACATCATATAAGCTAGAAGACACCAAAGTAACTACCACCAACTGCGAAAAAGACCTTGGCGTATGGGTGTCTTCCAATCTTACATGGAAAAAAACAAGTGTGCAACCAGACGTCAAAAGCAAACGAGTCCCTTGGCTACATCAAAAGAAACACCAGATTCGTGAAAAGAACTGAAGCAAGACGGATGTTCTACCTGGCCCTAGTTCGGTCACATTTTGATTATGCAACACAAATCTGGGCACCACAATCAATATAACTTATCAACCATCTTGAACGAACCCAACGACGTGCTACCAAATATATTCTAAATGTACCGTTCTCCTCGGATATAGACTATAAATCAAGACTGCAGTCGTTGCATCTCCTCCCAATATGCTACTCACACGAATATCTTGATTTGATTCTATTCTTTAAGATCACAAATGGTTTAGTGAAAACAAGCGCCTCTCCAGTTATTCAGAATTCTCGCAGAACCACTCGCTCAAATTCAAGCAACACAGTCAAGTATGTCATCCCCAGATATAAAACAACCAGCTACCAGAAAGCCTTCCTCATTAGAAATTCCAGAATATGGAACACACTAATAGATGCAATAGACCTTCATACGGACAGTTTCGCTGTATTTAAATCATGTTTACTTAATTTTTATTTTACCTCTGTTGACATTACTTATAATCCTGAAAATCCGCAAACATTTAGATCTTTATGCTTGAAGTGCAACTGTGTTCGTAGTTTAGCATCTCCACTATCTTGCTGTTATTGAAAATTTCAGCACAGCTAGCTACATGGCAACTGCTCGTGCTATGCTTATATAGTCGGTAGCATGCATTGATTTGTTCAATTTCTTTTCAGCTCGTGCATGTTATTATCATAACATGATCAGTTGCCGTAGCTAGCTAAATATTAAGTTGTATAAATGCATGAAGTTAGTTGTTTTTTCTATTTGATGTTAACGTATTGTCCTTGGGTTCGCAGTAATTGGGCTAATCGCTGTTGCGAATACCCTGCCATATAGTCTAGTTAATTCATTAAATTATTACTTTGTAATAACTGTTAATACTATCTGGCAAAGTTAATAAATTAAATTAGATATGTATGCTGATGATACAAATATAACTGCTTATCATATAAATATTAATAAAGTTGCAGACGTACTTAATAAAGATCTAGATATCTTGTATAGATGCAGGGTCTTAGCTAGAGGGCCGTGTTGGCCGTGTTATCGCGGCCAAAAGTGCAAAAACACAGCTAGATAAAATGAACGCGGCTTCACTATTTATATAAGGCCGTGTATTAGTGATAGGTTCATAAAATAAGGTGGTGCTATACTTACAACAGACAGAATTTCTTCCTATTTACGTCAAGAAAATTTGTAGAATCTACTGTTGTTGAATTGGCAAAAGTGATCCGTGATGTTTTAATGTTTTGATGGATAATGGGAACTGTATGGTGTTGAAATGGTTTTAATTTTGTTGAAATAACTTAATTGTCAGTGTGCAATATGAGCGTATGCTCGCCTTGTATTTGGCTGCAAAGCATAGAACAACCACAGGCATTGTTGTTGGCGAGCATAACTAGGGCCATTATTTTGCTATTCAAAGTAATTGACATGTGCACGCCCTGGTCATTAGAAACACGCCCAAGATCTAAAATCCTAGCTAAGACCCTGTATAGATGGCTTATGTATTTTGTTGATATATAGTTTGTGTCGTTAACTGTAGTATTTGTAGACATTATATGACATACCATAATCGAATTAATATCATAGCGATATATATTCTTGTTCACCGTGTCATTTACGGGTCCTATTACTCGCAGTCGCAGTCTTGCTACTGCTCACTCTGAGCTAAATAACACGTTGGCAAAGGCAGTTGGTCGCTTGAACATGGTTGAGAGCATGCAGCCCAACATTGCAGACAAATTGTTTGTCTGAACTGCTAAAAGCTGTTGAAAGGTCAATTAAGGCGAGCAAACAAAATAAGGAGACTTTAACAGAAGCCCACAAATTAGGCACTTGCAAGCATACAGACTTAATCAAATCACAACAAGAACAACAGGCACAACTTGCAACATAAATTTCACAAACCTTTTTATGGAAAACCCACAGATGACCTTCTGTCATTTATAAGCCATTTCGAAAGGTTCTCGAATTTCTGTGGTTGGAATGACGACCAACGTCTTAGAGCTTTGCCACTTTATCTACAGGGTAATGCTAGTTCATGCGTCGGAAAACATGGCGGACATGAAATTTGTTGTTTTTGTGAAATTGATAATATTTTAGTTAATATTATCGGTTTTTTGATATTTTTGACAGTATTTTTTGTGTGTAATATGTTATTGTGATTTACAATGCCAGAATATTTAACAGCAGATCAATTAAAACAAATACTGGATGAGAAACTGGACCAGAAGCTAATACCGTTGAATTTGAAAGTTTCTGAACTCAGTACCAAACTTGAAGATGCAATGCAATTCATTGATCTGGCTAACTCCAAGTATGAAGAAGTAATTACGAAACTTAATTCTCACGAAATAGCGAGAATTGAGATACAGGAAGAAAACAAGATTTTAAGGAGTGCTTTACAACAAACTGAAAGCCAAGTGCTTCAATTCAAAAACTCATATAATGACCTTGAACAATACTCTCGTAGGGAGTGTGTAGAAATTCAAGGTATACCAGCCCCTGATCATCCAACTAAGGAATCAACTAATGATATTGTAATGAAAATTGCCAGCAAATTTATGGATATTGATATCACCGAGAAAGATATATCTGTGAGCCATCGTTTACCTGTGAATAAAGGATACAAGGGGAACAGACCTGAACCTGCAATTATCGTAAAATTTGTTCGTCGAGATACTAAAGTGGCATTTTATCGAGCTAGAAGCAAGTTAAAGAACAAAACAACTCGAGACCTTGGATATCAAGCTGCTAATGGCATATATATCAATGAAAGCCTTACTGAAATGAATAAAGCTTTATTTAAATGTTGTCTAAAGACCAAGAAAGATCTTAACTATAAATACATTTGGACCTCAAATGGTAGAATCTACTTAAGGAAGAATGAAGAGAGTCACAGAATCTATATCAAGAATGAAGGTCAACTTACTAAGCTGTTGAGCTAAGTACAAATTGAATAATTATTTTATTTGATGTGTGACTCAAGTGTGAATTGTGGTAGATGCTTAACATCTACTTCTATATCTCATATTGATGACAGATTACTGGAACTTAAAGATCTACCTTGTCTTAATATTACATCACCATAACTAATACACCTCATTTAAATGACCTAGATATTGATTTAAACTTGCCCTCTGATAATAATTTTTCCTATTACACTACTCATGATTACCATAATAATCATGACATTAATGAGTGTTTATCTGACTCTAGATCATTTTCTGCATTGCACTGTAATATTAGGAGCCTGGTGGCTAATCATGATAACGTTGTACATATGTTATCTTCATTGTATTTTCCTTTTTCTCTGATTGGGCTTTCGGAAATTAAGTTTAGAGATAATCAGGATCCCTTGACAAATATACAGATAGCTGGTTATGAATTTGTATCCAAACCCAGTCTTTCTAATGCAGGGGGTGTGGCCTTCTATATAAAAATAATCTAAATTTCAAAATCAAAGATGAAATATCAGTCACTGACTTAGACTTTGAATCGCTTTGGATTGAAATTGAATCCATTGGTCAACCAAATTTAATATGTGGAATGGTGTATTGACATCCAAATGGCAATTTAGATCATTTTATGGAATATTTAGATCACACAGTTGAGGTGGTCCATAGGGAGAATAAAATTTGTTTATTGATGGGGGATTTCAACATTGACCTTTTGAAAGCAAATTTAAATATTGCTTCAGACAACTTTCTAAATTCTCTCGGTTTTTATTTCTTCCAACCACAAATATTACAACCGACTAGAATAACTAACCACTCCTCGACATTGATTGATAATATATTTTTTAATTCAATCGAACACTTTGTCATTAGTGGTTATCTGGTCTATGACTTGACTGATCATTTGCCTAATTTTATCATATTTAATAAATTTTCGTCTCTCCCCTCAAATGTTAAAATCTATAAGAGAGATTACTCATTGTTTAATGAACCAGATCTAATAAATGAATTTCAATCTATCAATTGGCAAACAGTATTTGCTTCAAATAGTGATCCATCTCTAATGTTTGATAATTTTTACGCTAAGACAACTGAAATAATTGATAAACATATTGCTATAAAACAATTATCTAGAAATGAAATAAAGTTAAAATCCAAACCATGGATAACACGTGCAATTCAAAAATCAATTCATGTTAAAAACAAATTATACAGTAAATTCTTGAAAACAAAGTCCTTTTACTATCATTCAAAATTTAAATTATATAGAAACAAATTAAACCATATTTTGAAGATTAGCAACAGGAAATACTACAATGACTATTTTATACAAAACATCCAAGACACAAAGAGAGTATGGAAGGGCATCAAACAAATAATACACTCTAAACCTAAAGTGGGCCAGAGAATTATCAAAATTCTGGAGGGAAATAGAGAGATAACAGATCCAATGGCAATTGCAAATGCTTTCAATAATTTTTTTGCTAACATCGGAAATAGTTTGGCCTCTTTAATACCAAATGTTGAAAAGTCGCCTTTTGATTATCTCACTAATTTTCCATGTGACAGCTTATATATTTCTCCAGTTACTTCGGAAGAGATTGTAAATGAAATTTCTAAATTAAAACTCGGAAAGGCTACTGGTCCATTTAGTATACCAGTGTCAATTCTGAAAATCCTTGGAACAGTGATATCAAAGCCATTGGAAATTTTATTTAATGTTTCTTTTTCAATGGGCGTTGTACCATTAAGCAATTTTAAAATAGCAAATGTTCTACCGATTTATAAGAATGGATCTCCAACTAGTACTTGTAATTATCGTCCAATCTCTCTTCTTTCAGTATTCAGTAAGCTCTTAGAGAAACTTATGTCAAATAGGCTGCTTGATTTTATCCAATGAAAAGCAATTTTGTTTGATAATCAATTCGGATTTTGTGCTAAACACTCTACTGACTTTGCCGTTCTTAGTATAATTGATAAAATACAAAAAGCAATTGATGAACAAGATTTTTCTTGTGGAATATTTTTAGATCTTAGTAAAGCCTTTGACACAGTCAATCATGAAATCTTAATAAAAAAATTAGAGCATTATGGAATACGGGGTGTAGCTAAACACTGGTTTGAATCCTATCTTAGAGGCCGCTATCAAACAGTTACAGCAAATAATACTAAGTCTTCGGCTAATATTATTTCTTGTGGTGTACCACAGGGATCCGTTCTTGGTCCAATTTTATTTGTTTTGTATGTCAATGATTTTCATCACAGTTCTAACCTCTTCGATTTTCATTTATTTGCCGACGATGCAAATTTGTTCTACCGACATAAAAATATTAATATTTTGCAATCAGATGTTAATACCGAATTAAATAGTATTAATGTCTGGCTATGTGCCAATAAGTTATCGCTCAATGTAGAAAAATCAAATTTTGTCCTTTTTCATCCATCACAACGAAAAATAGGTATAAATTTTCAATTAAGTATAAATGACAAGATTATTAAACAATGCTATTCGGTTAAATATCTGGGCAATTCTGATTGACTCTAACCTTGGTTGGAAATCTCAAATTGAATGTATTGCTAAAAAATTAAGAGAAGTGTGGGCATTCTATCTAAATTACGGTACTATGTTCACACTAACATTCTGATTAACACTAACACTTTGATTTATCCATTTCTAATATATGGTATAATCATCTGGGGTAATACTTACCCCAGTACAATACAACCACTTTTTGTTTTACAAAAGAAGGCCATGCATATTACAACGTTTTCTGAATATAACGAACATTCAAGTCCATTGTTTAAGTTAATTATTAAATATAATCAAGATCTTTGATTTGGTAACTTTCCATATTGCATCATTTATGTATAAATTCCACCATCGACTATTGCCCTCAGTTTTTGATAACTTTTTCACTCCAATAGATAGAATACATAATTATAATACAAGATTGGCATGAAAACAGAGTTATTACCTTCCTAAAGCAAGAACTAATTATGGTTTATTCAATATAAGATTTCAAGGAACCAAGATATGGAATTCCATAAACGAAAATATAAAACTGTTTTCTTTTTCAAAATTCAAAAATAAACTAAAAAGTGATATATTGCATAAATATTAAACATTTTATTCTCAGTAAAATTTTTCTTCTTCTTGCTATATAAGTTGATAAAGCTGTTCTGATCCTTTTCCTTCATCCCAACTCCAAACCAAAATCTACTGGTAATGTATTATATTATAATATGTTGCAATTGTAAATTGTATTTAATTTATTCTTAGTGTAGTTCTATGTGTAAGTCTGTTTTTTGTTACTGCTAGTGTCATGTTGTACCTATTTTCCGATTATATAAGTTACTTAAGTATTTTTGCGAACTGGCTTCCTGGCATTTTTAGCCATCTTAGGTTATTTCGGGAAGCCAGTACCCTACTTTTATTATAATTAATTTATCTTATAATCCATGTAGTATTTTAACAAATGGGTACAATAAAGTGTATTGTATAGTTCATTGTATACAAGTTTTGATTCAGAAACATTTAAATCATATAATGATTTAGCTACTGCTCTTAAAGCCCACTTTACTAATCCTGCTTCTATTTGGCTGTGGCTCCAGCAACTATCTGCTTGAAAACAGGAGGAACATGAGTCCTTGTCTAACTATTCTCTGACATTAGGCATTTATGCAAACGATTGGGCCTTACTGATTTAGTTGTAAGGCACTATTTTATTCAAGGTCTTCACCCTGATCTAAAAAGCCATGTTATCTTAGGGCAGCCCAAAAGTTTATCAGAGGCTGAAAATTTTGCAAACCTTAAGGAGGCTGTGTTAAAACATACACCTAATTTCACTCAGCAAAAACTCGAAAGTCAATTGCAGTCTGTAGTAACAAGTTTGGAACGCCTTACAAAGGCACAACAAAACAACATATCAAATGTTGCCGCCTATAATGCACATTCGCATGACTTCAGATATGACCAACATCATGGGGGTCAGTCCACTCTCTCAGGTCCCAGACATGATTCAGATCACCTGGCTAAGTTGGTTCGAGACAAAGTGCGTTGACAAACCAGGTTCATAGCACCAACAACCAGGCCTTCAAATCCAGGTGTACCATCTTTTTGCAACCGCCGTACTATTGATGGATTACCTATTTGCAATAAGTGTGACAAAGTTGGTCACATTGCTCGCAGTTGTAGGAGTATTCGTAACCCCCATGCAAAATATCCTTCACTTATATAACCAAACCTTTCGCCCAAATGCACCTACCTTTCGACCAAATGCACCTACTTTTGGCAATCAAAAAAGGACTAACAACCCATTTCACCAGCAGTTGGGAAACTAGTTGTGGCTTCTTTATACCGGGACGATAGAAAGGTGAAGTATTTACAGCAAATTAATGAAATTCAATGTCTCGTAAAGGATCAACCTAATAATGTTAATAACTCTGTTAATGAAACTAATGATATTTCTGTTGCAACTCTGGTTAATTTGGAAGTAGAAGAACTTAGACATATAGATATCTCAAGCCCACCAGTATGTAAGGAAAATATAGAAACAATACACCCTGATCTTGTGGATATTGATTTCACTTTATGTACAGATAGAAGTCATAGTGTTATAAGTGAGAAAAATGCTCCAGCTAGCCAATTGATAATAAATTGTGATACATTGACGATAAATGAAATAGATAATTCTAAAGTGACAGAGTCACAGCATATACATGTACCACAGCATGTTGACATTGATGTTAGACAACCATTTTTTTCTGAGTATAGTACCATAGATGTACCAGTCTGTGATGACCTAGCAGATTTATCCCCATGTGAAGTTAAAGGAAATGAGATACAAAGCAGCGAAATGGTTTTTAATACTGATTTAGAAGGAATAATATTTCCTGTTTCTAACCCCACTGAGAGTTATGTTGATAAGCCTGTTCCTGAATCATTGATTTCATTTCAACTTGGTGAATTCAAGTACCCTGACTATGCCTATATTGTTGATAACTTGGCTTATGAGGTAATATTTGGTGCAGATCTCTTGATGCATTATCAATCTGTTATCAACTTTGACACTAGTAAATTGCAGGTACCACCTCCTACGAACACACCACCACCACCAACAGATACACCACCACCTTGTTCGACATCTAGTTAAGTGGGAAGGGTATGGCCATTGGCCACCAACACAATGGGTTGACGAGACAGACGTAGTACAAACTAACGCCAATGAACATTGACAACTGACTATGCTTTGCCTTGGCCTATCGAAGCTTTTGCCTTTCGGATCATTTTTCCCTATATTCGTCCTCCACATTTTTCAATATGACTATATGCTTCTCTCGATGAACATTTAGCTCATTCCCCCCCCCCCCCTCTTATTCGGACTGACACATTGCAGTTATGGTATCATAGCGATTATGGTATGAATTAGTTTGTCATTTGTGAGAAGAGAATTGTGAGAGAGTCCAGTTTTGTACAAATTTGTAATATATGTTAATCATTGTGTATCATGTGTTATGTCTCATTCGTTTTGTCCTTTCCTTGACACAACAAAGAAAACAAAACACTTGTTACCATCTTTTTGGTACTTGTCCCTGTCAACATGCCTTACAGATTAAGGTTAGTACTTGTCCATATTTGAGCATTCATTATGAACTATCGAAAATGAACTATCCCAAGAATGTCAAGAATAGAGTTGCGAATTAAAGAGAACATTACAATTCTGGAACGATAGCACATTAACCGAAGTCCAAAGATGTGGCTGCACAAGCCAAGAACAAAGAAAAAAATAAATAAACACTTACTACTACTGTAGAACATTTTTTTCTAATGTTGTTTAATAATTTTAAAAAAAGAACAAAAAAAGGGAAAGAAAAGAAAACCAGGAGGTTTTCAACTAAAGATGGGAGATATGTAAGAGGACCATTGACCTTTGTTATGTGAACCTTTGAACTTTGTCTGGCTATTAAGATTAGGATGCCTACGAGTAGCAGAACGTGAATACATCGCAGAACAAATTAGAACAAATCCAAACAACACACGTTGCCTTTGGAAAATGATAAGATCATGCATTCCAAAGAAATCTGCGAATCAAAGAACTTTCGCAAAAGATGACACTGTCGTAGCAAATGAATTTAACAGCTTTTTCTCTTCAGCTGGCCAAACTGCAATTACTAATATCAAGTCACTTGCAGAAAAATGTAATTATGACATCTTACAGTCAGAGTTTAAACCAACTTCTCACCCTGAATCAGAACAATTTATGTTTGAAACCGTGGATTGTGAGGAGATCAGAGAAATTGTTTCAGAATCAGTTCAGAATCAGTTTTATTTGCACTTATTTCTTTCTTACAAGATTATGTATTACTAGTATACTATATATATATTTACATTATATTTCATAATATGTATTTACAGATGAAGAGTGCGTAGTGGTAAAGGTCGAGTTGACCACTACCATTATGAAATTATATTTGAGTATTTAAAACTAAATTAAAAAAAGTTGATCTCTATAGTATTTATTGCTAAGGTTTCTAAGTGTATAGTATAATTTACAAAACCTATTTTATATATAAGATTACTATAATATCATTTTTTTAAATAACATATACAGCAAGTCTAGTCAAATCTGTCATGTAACTCTACTTGACTATTAAGTAAAAACATTTTATACTGTTTTTTGAAACTATAAAATGGCAAAGATTTAATCTGTATAGGAAATTTTTCCCATATTTTGGAAGCTTTTGTTTTGAATCGGGTTAGCCCATAATTTGTTTTAGAAGCTGGTCTGTATAGGTTCTGCTTGGAGGCATATCTGGTGTTATAACTATGAACATCAGATGCTTCCATAGTTAAATATAATAAGGCTATAGGAACTTCTGTTTTCCGAATTATTATTTTATAATCAAGAGATGATATTTTGAGGTTAAAGATATTTTCAAGTTTCAGTATTTCGAGAAGTTGAAAATAGGCCGTTACATTTTCGTTTGTTCTTGAGAATAAGATTGCATGAAGACATTTGTTTTGTTTAGTTTTTATTTTATCCAATCTAGTTGGACAGGCAGTGCCCCAACTCATGATACCGTAATTTAGGTAAGGATATATTAGTGTGTAGTAAAGTTGTTTTGGCATATAAATGGATACGAAATGTCTTAGTTTATTTATAACTCCAGTGTTCTTGCATAGGCAGCCCCCCAATGTTATGGTTGCCTGCCTGCGCACGGCATTGTATAGTTGTATTATTTCCTAAGGTAGGCAAATTCAATCAAACTAACTATACATATACTTTCAAACAATCCAAAATACTTTAAATATCTTTACATCTACGCTAAACTAATCACGGAAATAAAATCTACAATACTTTTACTATATACTAACAATATTTTAACGTACAAAACCAATTTGTAATGCGAGAAAAATACGAAAAGTTTTTGCATTTTTTTTTCAATTCTTGAATGAGACGATGCTGGATTTGTGCTCGACGTTTTTTATGGCGTTTCAAATGACGAATTTCTAATCTCATTGGCTGTCTTTTTCTACGTTTTAAAACCGTAAAAATGACAGCCAATGAGATTGGAAATTCGTCATTTGAAACGCCATCAAAAACGTCGAGCGCGAATCCAGCATCGTCTCATTCAAGAATTGAAAAAAAAATGCAAAAACTTTTCGTATTTTTCTCGCATTACAAATTTGTTTTGTACGTTAAAATATTGTTAGTATATAGTAAAAGTATCTTAGATTTTATTTCCGTGATTAGTTTAGCGTAGATGTAAAGATATTTTAAGTATTTTGGATTGTTTGAAAGTATATGTATCCTTAGTTTGATTGAATTTGCCTACCTTCGGAAATAATACAACTATACAATGCCTCTCGCCCGCGCGCAGGCAGGCAACCATAACATTGGGCTGCCTATGGTTCTTGGCTATTTTGTTTTGTATATGTTGCAGTTGATCATCCCATTGTAGATGCTCATCGATAAAAACACCCAAATACTTTATCTTCTTTTTCCTTTTTATGTTGCATGTTTTTATTGTTATATCACATTTTTTCCTTGGCGAGGTAATTAGCATGTAATTTGTTTTTTTAAAGTTGATAGAAAGCTTGTTATTATTGCAGTATTTCAGTACATGCTTTAATTCATCATTAATTGTTTTTTCTAGCTCATTTATGCTGTTTGAGGAATAGAAAATATTTGTATCATCAGCGAAAATTCTAAATAAATTTTTTTTTGAACAATTAGGTAAATCGTTGATATATAACAGGAAGAGTAGTGGTCCTAAAGTAGATCCCTGTGGGACACCACAAGTCATTGTTTTCATACTAGATTCTGTTTCACCAATTTTAACGTATTGTTTGCAATCAGATATGTAGCTTGAAAACCATTTATTCGCCACTACACGAATGCCATAGGAATGTATTTTATTCAGTAGAATCTCGTGATTAATGGTGTCAAAAGCTTTCGAGAAATCTAGAAAGATTGTGCAAGTTATTTTGTTTTCGTCTGTTGCTGTTTTCAAGTTTTCAATAGTTTCGAGAATTGCGTGTTCAGTCGAATGTCCTTTTCTAAAACCAAACTGATAATCAAAAAGTATCTTTTCTTTTTCGAGAAAGGCAGAAATTTGGTTGTATATAAGTCTTTCTAATACTTTACTAAAAGGAGAGATAATTGCAATTGGTCTATAGTTTCCCAATTCTGTTGTAACGCCACTTTTATAAACAGGAGTAACTCTTGAAATTTTGAATATTTCAGGAACTATTCCGGTTGATATTGATTCATTATATATCTTTACAAAGGGTTTACATAATAAGTGACTTGCAATTTTGATGCACGATATTGGAATGTTAATGTACGATTTATTTTCATCTAAGGAAGAAAATATTGCTGAAACTTGATTTTCTGTTACTGGGCTTAAACTACTATTTGGTGCTGAAATAGTTAAATATTGTGTAGAACTTGCTTGATTCGTAGGAAATTTTTTCGATAAGTTTGAACCAACATTTATAAAATAATTGTTGAATAACTCTGCAATATCGTTTTGATTCGTATGAGTCTTTCCATCATGCACAATTCTTGTCGGAGAAATTTGGTTTTTGCTCTTTCGTTTTATAAGATTGCCAACTATTTTCCAAGTTATTGTAAGATTATTTTTGTAGTTTGTGAATTGGGATTGATAATAATCTTTTTTACTTCTCTGTTTGATAAATGTTAACATATTTGCATATCTTTTATATTCATTAATTTTGTGTGGAATTTTACTAAAAAAATGTGTGCGATACATTTTTTGTTTTTTTATAATTGATTTGAAAATACCGGCTGTAAGCCAGGGTTTGTTTAATTGCTTTTGTTTGGCTTGTGTCACAGTTTTTACTGGGGCATGGTTATCTACAATTTTATTTAGAGTAGATATAGCATCTTGTGTCTTTTTATCTAAGCTTTTATTAGGTGTAAGAATTTCGTCCCAGCTTATCTGTTTTATATCA